CATGATTGCAGGTCTTTTTCAACAACATACTACTTATATCGGTGTTTAGTTACTTAATAATATGAAATTTTAGTGAAAGTTTGCATTTGAATGTTCCTTTTCTTTTAAATATATAGAAATTATGTGTTGTTTACAAAGATGATAAATTCATTTTTGTTTTCACTCTAATTTTGATTGATTTTTTAATCTCATTAGAGTTTCAGTTTGGACAAGTTGAAATTAGGCACGCATAGATCACATTGTATGTAAGTTTTATGGTACACATTTATATTTGATCTATGTAATTTGGTTGTATTGATATACATGATCATTGATGGGTCTAATCACATTACATTTCTGATGAAAATCACTTTCTTCCCATATTCATATAATTAATGGACGTGATTGTTAAAGAATGCCCTTTTACATGATAATAAAATTGAGTTCGCTAAAGTAAATGCATTTAAAAGCTAAAATATGTAGAGATAGTTATAAAAATAAATAAAAAATCATTTTGTGAACTAACATATGTAAATAAATGTGTTTTATATGATATTTTAAAGTTAAGTCTAATTTTTGTGATCTAATAAACTATAGGTTTTTAGGTATTAAAATTTTAAAATATTGTCAAAATTATGCAGAGAGACCAATTTGCATTTTCTACTTTTATGATGTCCAAAATTGAAAGTTTAAATGTGAGATAACAACTACCTGGAAGTAGTTATCTTAAAGGATTAGTCCCAATTTCATGTCTATAAGTGTCACTTCAGTTCTCCAAAGAGAAATAAAGAATCCCACCGACAAAAAATATGTTAGAACACAAATCGATTTGAAAGACAACAATCCTCAACAACAAAAAAATAATGAATCCAGGTATACTTTTATACCTTAGTTTTGTTTCTCTTAATGATTTGACATAAAATATCCGGTGTTTCCCGAATCAAATCAAAATTTTGATTTGTGATTTCCCCGAGTTTCAAGCACATGAAAGCAAACATAATAATAGGTTTTCCTTGCAGCGCCAAGTAAAATGCCATCTTCGTCCTAAAATGCTAAGAGAAACGTGTATGTGGTGTTCCCTGGCACAAAAAACACACAATCAGCAGGCATTTCCCACGGCGTTAAAATGGACTGCAAAAGAAAGGGCAAGACTCAAGAGGCTTCCAGGCAGATAATAAAGCTACTGGAGATCGATTGACGAGTAAGTGTGGGCGAGCAATCGGAAAATGATGACGAGCTTGTGAATAGGAAAAGATAAAGTCGGCATAGGTTGTGCATTGAGGAGCAGCTTGGGGGACGTGAAATAAAGTTATATAGGAGGAGGCGATGCAGATTCATAATTTGAAAAATTATGATTGTGTAGATTAAGATTAAGCTCTGCGAGAGCTCTCTCTTATCATGAATAAGAAGACAACAATCAATTTGAAATCCTACTCTCTATTGTTTTTTCCTAAGTAAGCCACCAAGTCAACACAGACCTTAAAGTTCAATCGAAGTTCTCATTGACATTCATGCTTAGGAAAAAAAATTATATACAGAGAGCGTGCGAAGTTCTGCTTATACTCTCAAATCACAACCGCACATCAAAATTCATCCAAACAAAGCCTGTATGACATCGGCCCCCCCTTTGATTGAATTTTTTTGTAAGAAAATTTTAAACTGTGATTGGAGATCGTATGATTTTTTTCCATGGGGTGTCAAAAATTGACTTAACAGTCAACTCGACTTTAACTCAATTACAAAAATCTTGATTATGACTGAGACGATTAATTTTTAGGTCTAGTTCGGGTCTAAAATCCCAAACATCTAATATTTTATGTTGGCTTCAAGTTGGTCTGTCAAATCAAAATTGACTCGACTTCAAACTGACCGGCTAAATTGAATCATTCGCAAGCTAACTAAATCTGCGAGTGTTGACAGACTTTTGATTTATAATTTCCATGTTTACATTTTAATCTTTATTTTTTGGGTATATATGTATTTCCCACGTGTGTGTTGTATGTCAGGTAGTTAAGGTGTCAATTTGGGTCATTTCATCCAACGTATCTGTACCTTTCATTTTATTAATATATTCGCCTTTGGGCTTTTGTACACCAATATATATATATATATATACACACACACGCGCGCGCGCGCGCCTCATTAACTCACAATCAATGCGACCCATTGAACTTGCTTATGTTCAAAGGCTCGCTTCCCTGTTCATTTGACTCTAGTTAATCCCTCTCCCTCTCCCTCTCCCTCTCCCACCCAAAGCCTCTATTTGAATTTATCTTGGTTTATTCACTTTATTGCTTTATTCCTTGATGAAGAATTAAGAAGCATGCGAGATCGTAGGTAAGAAGTCAAGATCGACAGATCCACATAAATAAACAGGGTCAAATTAAAAGTTCTTACAAGAATCACAACAAACAGAATTGAAAAGATATGAGAGGACTTGATTTTATTGATGAAAAGAGGAGTATAAATGCACATTACATGACTTATTGGTAAGGAAAGCAATAAAAACAAAATACAGTAGGAAAATGAAATGAATATAATAAAATATAAGAGACAACTAATCTCTCTAATTTAAGGAGAGAAAGAAATAAAGATTCCCAAGATTTCTCATATAATTTATAACCCTCTAAATAAGAGTTATAACAAATATGAAATATAATCATTAGTATTTTCTAGATCTTTTAACACTCCCCCTCAAGTTGAGTTGTACAGATTGTACATGTCTAACTTGTTACATAATTCTTCAAATTTGATTCTTGGGAGAGGCTCAGTGAAGATATCTGTTGTTTGATGTCGGGAAGGAATGTATGCAAGTTCGACGACTTCTCTCTCAATGTTTTCTGAGATGAAGTGTCGATCGATTTCGATGTGTTTCGTTCTGTCATGGTGTACTGGATTCTTTGCAATGTTGATGGCTGCCTGGTTGTCGCATTGTAGTTTGAAAGTTTTTTCAGTTAGCATTCCGAGTTCGCTGAGTATTATTCGAATCCACATTCCTTCGCAGATCCCGAGTGCGACAACTCTGAATTCAGCTTTAACGCTGCTTCTTGATGCCATAAACTCCTTTTTGCTTCTCTAAGTGACTAGGTTTCCCTAGACATAAGTGCAATAGCCGGAAGTCTATCGTCGGTCTGAGACAATCCTTGCCCTGTCTGCGTCTGAATACACTTCTATACTTCGATCTTTTTCCTTTAAAACAATAGCCCTTTGCCTGGAGTCATCTTGAGATATCTCAAGATTCTATAAACTGCATTCATGTGTTCTTTCGTTGGGTTGTTCATGATCTGGCTAACAACACTAACAGAAAAACCAAAGTCGGGTCGTGTGTGTAAGAGATAGATGAGTCGCCCCACGAGTTGATAATATCTCCCCCTATCCACAGGTGCACTATTTTTCTCAGTGCCGTTCTTCTTGTAGAATCCATTGGAGTATCAACGGGTTTGCAACCAAGCATACTTGTTTCCTTCAATAGGTCCAACATATATTTCCGTTGTGACACAAATATTCCTCGTTTTGATCGAGCTAGTTCCATGCCGAAGAAGAACATTGGGTTTCCGAGGTCTTTGATTTCAAATTCCTGAGTGAGAAGATTTGTCAGATTTGTGAGTTCTTCTTCGTGATTTCCAGTGAGGATGATAGGATGATATCGTTGGATGATATCGTTGACGTATACGATTAGAATTGCAATATTCTTTTTGGGAGAGGTTTTCACGAAGAGAGTGTGATCTGCCTGACACTGAGTATATTGTGTTTTGTCACTGATATTGGAAATCTATCGAACCATGCTCGGGGAGATTGTTTGAGGCCGTACAATGATTTTTGGAGTTTGCAAACTTTGTTGCTTGGAATTGATGCTTCTAGTCAAGGAGGTGCTTCCATATAAACTTCTTCTTCCAAATCGCCATTTAGGAAAACATTTTTCACATTGAGTTGATGTAGCTGTCAGTCTTCATTTGCCGCAAGTGAGAGAATGATTCTGATGCGTTAAATTTGGCCACGGGAGCAAAGGTTTTTTGGTAAACAATACCGTATGACTGTGAAAAACCTTTTACTACGAGACGTGTTTTTAATCTCTCAATTGTACCATCTGCCTTGTATTTGACTTTTAAGAGCCATTTGCAGCCGATTGCTTTCTTTCCCTTTGGCAAGTCTGAAACAGTCAATGTACCATTCTTTTGTAGGGCAAATGCCATGATTTTTCTCTCCTCTTTTATTCTCTATTAATCCTAAATCAAAAGCTAGGTTGCAAAAATATTGAGAACGAAGCGAGCAAACACAAAAGAGAGAAAATGATGGGCATAGGTGAGCTAGGCAAATGGAGGTAGAGTGATTATCAACGACATTTCTCTATGTTGGGCGGAGAGGAATTTGACTAGATGATCCATGCACTCGCCATTTGGCCTAAAACAAGACAAAAAAAAACATCGAAACTAAAAAAAAAAAAAAAAAAAAAAAAGAAAAACAAAGAAAAACAAAACAAAAACAATTTGATTAATTTGATAATCTCCACTCGATTACAGTCAATCCATGGAAAAATCTAATTCCACAGAATTTCCAACCATCTCATGGATGCTCAAGCAGCTCCTTATCAAGATCAAGGATTGATAACCAAGCTAGATTAGTCGATTGAGCTATGCCAACCAGCCTCAGCAAACTAAGTCAATTCCATCAACTCGAAGCCAACTATGCTTAGCCAGCCGAACCAGAAAGCAGTAGGCAGATAAACTCATATATACATATCAATGTCTCTCTCTCTCTCTCTCTCTCTTTCTCTCTCTCTCTCTATCCACACACACACACACACACACACAAAAAGAAGTAAAGATCTGGAATTATTTGACGGTGGGGAGAAACTCAAATATCTCTTTGAATAAAACTTCGCAAACATTCACAAAGAACAGAAACCATAACGTAAGAGTAGCTCAAATACAAAAGCATTCATCGCTTAAAACAAAGTGCATACTGTCTCTACCCATAACCATTTATTTTCACCTCTATCGAGCATTCAGGTGACCAACTTCTTAATGAAAAAGAGGAGGAATGCTCTGCTCATTCAGGAACATGTTAGTAGGATCAACCTCACCCTTCACATAGGCCAATCGCTTGAAGTTATCTTTATAATACCTCTCTCCCCACAACCTCGCCTCCCAATAAGTGGTCTTGTTCCCCTTCACATTGGTCCCAATATCCAAATCTCTAGAGTTGAGATAAATTGCCCTTGGATTCTTAGAAACATAAGGTGTCATGAACTCGTAAAACCTCCTCAACCAATCCACATGCCTCTTGCTCACTGCAGCGTTGTCTTCCCTCCACCTCTGCGTCAAATAGCGGACGTGAAAAAGGTTTCCTTTCCGATAAGGAAAGGCTGTCTCGGTTTCAGAAATTTCATCCATTCTCCCACCCCAGGGATCTACGATCATTAGGGGTTTTTCAGCTTTCTCGAGGAAACGACGCATTATTTTGTCCCATCCTTCCAAGGGGATGGTTCGTGTTATGAAGTCGGATTTGTGCTTAAAGGAGCTGTTGAACTCAGAAGAGTATCTCTCTTGTAGGATGCTCAAAGGCTTTCCTTCGTATCCTGCAAATTTTCCGGAGTCAGTGTTTATTTTGTTTAACAACTATTATTATAATGTTAACGCTAATCCTAGTGTTTTATTAAGAGTGTGCATTAGTTGATTTAAACTGAGAGCTATGTTAAATTCGCTTTGAATTTTGGTTTCAGGTTGGAAGAAAAATTATGTTTAAAATAAGAAACCGAATTGTATTGATATTTAATTGATCACACAAATTAATTAATTAATTTAATAAATTTGCTTATCAACTATTTTTAATCACAAGAAATCAGCCGGCTAAACTTGATCTATATTTTATACAAAAAATAAAAAAATAAAATTTATAAAAAAAAGGTAGAGCACTTACGTGCAAAGTACATGACCGACTCAATCCAGCTCATCTCTCTACAATCCTCCGCCTTCAATTCGAGTTCCGGAAAACAATCCTCCATTACGTGAAGAAGCTCATTCTTCTCACCAAGGAACAAGGATTTAAAAGAAACCTGCACTGTTCTGTTCGCCTTATTCCCATCACTAGCTTCGCTAACATTTCCCTCAACAGTAAACACCGCCCGGATAAACAGCCTCTTATCCACATTATAAGCCATTCGCTGCCATTTATCCACAAGCTTTGTCGCTCCCTCCTCCAACGTCTTTGAGACTACGAAAAGAGTTACCGTACTGGGAACCGCCACAAGCCTCACTTTGTAAGCAAGAATCACCCCAAAGCTCGCACCTCCTCCCCCTCGCAGCGCCCAGAATAGATCTTCTCCCATCGTTCCTCGATTCTTTATCTCCCCGTTTGCCACGACGATTCGGATGTCTTCCACGTTATCGCTCGATA